CCTAATCTCTGATAACATGTGAATATTGTTCTGGTCACCCATTGTGACCAAGACTTCACCGGGTAGTTCACAGGTCAGAAGAGGAAGCCAGCAGTGGTTGTTTTCTATTACTATGTAACAAATTTTAAATTAACAATGTAACACAGGATTCTTTATCTTGGTCTTTGTTTAGTGTTTGTAAATCAGAAGTCTAGATACAAGCTAGCTGGAATCTCGAGTATCATAGTGCTACCACAAAGTATCAGCCAGAACAAGCTCAAGCTTTCTTTTCCAGATAATTTGAATAGTAAGGAATCACTCACTCCATGCGTGAAACATACTTGCACCAGAAAATTATTTCTTTCTTTTTTTTTTTGTTTTTTGTTTTTGGTTTTGTTTTGTTTTGTTTTGGAGACAGGGTTTCTCTGCGTAGCTTTGCGCCTTTCCTGGAACTCACTTTGGAGACCAGGCTGGCCGTGAACTCACAGAGATCCGCCTGCCTCTGCCTCCCGAGTGCTGGGATTAAAGGCGTGCACCACCACCGCCGCCGCCGCCGCCGCCGCCGCCGCCACCACCACCACCCAGCCTTTATTTCTTTTTGTTATCTGCAATTCAAATAACCTACATGTGCTTTGTCCACCAACCCCAAACATTATTACTTAAGTGATATCCTCTCCCCTATGCTAGGGTTAAAAGGAAGCTTCTTCCATACCTAAAAAGACAAGTCACAGAATGGTATAGGTCATTAGAAGCCATCTTAGAATTCTCTCTACCAACACCTGTGAACTTCTGCCTTGACCTGTTTTGTGATTACATTTTCTCCACAATGACTATGAAACTAAGCTTCCAGCATATTGACAGTTCCAAAATCTATCTCCCCACTCTCCCCTTCCAAGAAGGCTCCAACTCTTCCTGAACAATTTGACCAACTGTCATTCATCCTCAATATTTAACTATAATTTTTCTTTTTCAAAAATATTTCCAAACTTTCACTCTAATCTCAAAAGAAAAGATTTCCACAAAAACAAAAACTTAAGAAGCTGAAAAGTTTAAAAAAAAAAAAAAAGCTTAAATGTTCACTAACACGCTGAAAAAAATCCAAGGCCATCAATGCTTGTGAGTGGTTGAATCTTAATTATATAACTGAAGGCTTTTCTATATTCCAAATGCATAATGGGTCACTACAGAGAAATAAAAAAAAATGTAAGAACCTCCCTTTCTGCATTTTCCTGGAATCAGCATTACCGTTTTAACAATCAGACATTAGTATCCTAGAATAGAGTGGGGACAAATATATATATATATGATCCTGTTATTCCTTCTTGCTTGCTAGGTTCATATTATTCCCCCAAAATGAACTCTAACAGTGGGTCAGCTACATGGCTTTAAATGAATCTGTTTGTAAATTACTTGATAAGGAACTCATTCTTGATGTGCTGAATCATGTATTGGGAAGAACTCTGTCACTGCTTCACTGCTGCCCATTCACTTCAAACTTAACTGTCTCTCCAGGGACAGAGAACACGCCTGTAATGTTAATCTCATTTTCTATCACCAGTCATTCAGGTATAGTTGCAGCTCCTTCTTGGTACCATTTATGCCAACACACAAAAACAAGTCGGCTCAACAGTCTGCAGGACACCGAAATTTCTAACTTTTGAGCTTCTGTCTCAACCATTCCACCTGCAGGGGTTTGCCCCACTGGTAGCTTTCCTAAATATCTCTCTCTCTCTCTCTCTCTCTCTCTCTCTCTCTCTCTCTCTCTCTCTCTCTCCCTCT